GAGCAGGGAGCCCGATGCGGGACTCGATCCAGGGACTCCAGGATCATGACCTGAGCCGAAAGCAGTCGCCTAACCAACTGAGCCACCCAGGCGCCCCGTTCATTATATTTTTTACAACAATGGAAATAACCCAAATATTCAATAGGGAATTACAAAAATAAATTATTCCATCTACTTGGTAGGATATTATGTAGTTAATTTTTTAAAGTTACATTCTCAATGGATATTAATGACATACTATGACCTCAAATTTTGTAAAAAAAAAATATGCAGCAGAAAAAAAAAGATTGAAAAGCAACATTCAAATGTAAATAGGGGTACATGTGGCAATAGAATTGTGATTTTATTTGCTTCTTTATTCTTTCCTGTGTTTTCCAAAATTTCTGCAATGAGTACATATTTTTAGATTCAGATTTTTTTTTTTTAGGGGTGCCTGGGTGGGGCTCAGCCATTAAGCGTCTGCCTTCGGCTCAGGTCATGATCCCAGGGTCCTGGGATCGGGCCCTGCATTGGGCTCCCTGCTCCGCGGCAAGCCTGCTTCTCCCTCTCCCACTTCCCCTGCTTGTGTTCCCTCTCTTGCTGTGTCTCTCTCTGTCAAATAAATAAAATCTTTAAAAAAAGAATTTTTTTTTAAAGGGCAATAATCCTTCACTGTAATAGGTTTTCAACTGCTCTGTGTACACAAAGGAAAGTGTGTGGTCACTTACCTGCCTTGTGTTCCATACTCGATTTCTGGCAGCTGAGATGCACGTCTCAGGGACACATGTATGTATACTAACTTATCTGTCATAAAATCTCACCAGACATGTGACTTCTAATACACAATACAGTCCGAGTATCACAAAACACATCACTAAAGTATACTAAAATAAGGTTATTTACTTAAAAATGATACATTGGAGGTAATCTATATATAGAACAAAGCAATTAATGGTAAACTTAATAAGGCACCTTTTAAACCAGATGCTGTACAAAATACATTTAGTGTGTTACATATCAAAGATGAATCTATATTTTTGGTGTTTTACAATTGCATAATAAAATTGTTTTTAACCCTTCTTTCAATGTCTATGTACAACTTCCCTAATTAAGCTTATATAATGATATTTTCATTTTATACAACATATACTACATTTTAGTTTTTAAATGGGCAAGGACAATGGTCACTAAAAGGGCTTAAATAATTCCACTGAAAGCATAGTACAGAGCACGAGCTAAAATTACAATAATATATTTAATCCTTTGCAAAAGCAGTATTCACATACTTTCCTTATGGGATGATCATTACATGTGGCTTTGTATGCTGCTGCCCGAGATTTAATTCAGTTTTTATGAACATGTCAGTTCTCTGCAGTTTTCACTGTGACTCTCATAATAGCACTAAGGCAAGAGAATGAACTGCTACCCTATTTTAACACCTGACCAAAGCAAATAATAAATACTACCCTTTAAACAGTACAAGAGCTACAACAATCTTTTTTAAAAAATCAATTAGTATTTCATTGAGATTATTTTAGATATTTGCAACATTTCCAAACAATGTGTATGCAAAGAAACACAAGTGATTTAATTTATAAAATCCTGCCTGGAATAAATTATTCATTATCAAATTTGATCTTGGGCCAGTTTAAGAGATACAGGATTCTTTAAAAGTTGCGTTATATTTTTTATCTAAACAGAAGAAAAGCATATGAAAGAAAAAGGTACTGAATATTTTAGAGTGAATAAATAAAAAATCCGGCCCATTCTAGGAAAACATAATTTTCAAAAACTATAGGCCACTTTCTAAGTTTAGGGACACTTCCAGACATCGGAAATGCAACATAAAATGTTGACTGAAAGATCTTTTGTGAAAACATTTCCAGAGAAATTAGATTCAAATTTTGTACTTCAGAAACTTGTTCAAAAGAAAGCACAGGGAAAGCTCAGAATGAATGCACTGAGGCGGATCCTGGTGTGCCTTTAATTCTGGAGGTATTTACCAGTATAAAGGGAATTCAATAAAAGGAATTTTCTTCGAGGGCTAACTTCTGTTGTATTCAGGTAGCTTTGGGTTTTTGCTTGTTTTTATGTTTTACTTATTTAAAAGGATGACAGACAGAAGCCACACATTTTTAAAATGTTTAAATTTTTAAAATTTTAAATTTTTAAATTTTAAGTGGGGCCAAATAATGGCTTCTAGGGTTTTACAAATTATTAACTATAAGGTACTATGTAATACTTCCTCAGTCTTAAATATTTCACTTACTGGATGAACTTAGAAATTTAACAGTGAGAGTAAGGAGAAGAAAGTAAGTTTCATGCATATTTTTTGGACTTTGGGATTTCAAAATGGCATCATTTGCTTTTTAAAGAACACGCTACCTTAGAAAATATTTTTATTGAACAAGTTGCTAAAGTTAATCCTTGATACTACTCTTAATAGATCTATTTAAAAAAATCAATATAGTGGTCTCGTACTTATATACTACCTGTAATTGTCTGCTTCCACCCACTATTTCAACATTTCTAAGAATAAGTTTGCCTTTCTTTACATACGTTCTTTGTTAGTAAGACGACAAATAATGTTCAGGATTTACAGTTTAACCAATAAAAAATAAAGCAAGATTAACCTTAGATTAAAATCAGAGCTCAGAAGTGTTCTTAAGTCACAAGGCAACATGGATTACAATCTCTCTCAGTATAGGGGAGGACATTCTGAAAGAACATGTTATTGGGTACTATCAATATGCACATTTACTCATTTTTGTGAACACTTCAAATTTTAATTATGTTAGATGAAAATTACTAAACTTAGTCAAAACTATTAAAGCAGATTTCAAATTTGTTAAGTTTGATATATAAATATGTAAGAGTTTCATCCTTAAATGCCAGTCAGATTTTTGGTAATGGATGGATACATGCTCTGGATTCCTCCCCTTTAAAGACTTTTAACTATGTTGTGATGTAATCACATTTATTTTATGTTACATTCAAAGAAAACTATTTCACTTTATGCACCCATGAGTTGTTTACTCAGGATAAGACAATATTTAAAAGGCATTGGAGAAGTATAAGTTTAAGTAAATCAGAATTATTCCTTGGGATAACAAGGCATCCATAAAATATGTAGCATTTTATTGAATAACAGCTATATGGTATAGATACAGGTAATGAGTAGATACTGAACTTTTTTGCCTGACTCTTCATTGTCTTCACAAGTTATAGAACAGAAATCATAAAACCAAAAATCTCAAATGATTTAAATGCCCCAAACAGCTGTTGATAAGTTTATATCAGCTCTGAAACAGAAACTTCTAATTGGAGGATCCTTTGATAAAGAAAAATTGAGATGACAGCATCTTAATGAAAGTATATGCCTGAATAACAAAGTCCTAGATTTGATATACTACTTTGAATGCATTAATTCTGACAATTTACAAGTAGTTCTACATTATAACATTTTTTTCTGATGATCTTTTAATTTTCTTCCCTTAAGAATGGGATATGAGGTACACATGAGAGCTGGTTTCTACAGTATGAATGTATGTACATATATAAAATATGGTTGTAAAGGAGGTGTTTTGCAAATAAAGCATATTACACACAAAATATAAATAACTTCCCTTTTAAAAGTTACTGAGAATAAAGAATATAGAACATGATTATAGGCACTTACATTGCTATCAAATGCAGTAATTAGTAATTCACTTCAATAAGAAGTGTTCTCTTTAGAAGGTTCATGGCATTGGAAGTTCCAACTTTGGATAAGATGCTTTTCATGACAAAAGTAAGAATTACCGAAAAGAAAGAAAGAGAAGGAAGGGGGAAGGGGGGGAGGGGAGAGGAAGGGGAGGAAGGAAAGAAGAAAAAGATGGTGATGAAAGGAAAATAGTCCAAATTTACAGACACTTTAAACTTCTTTTGGCCTTTATATCAACTTTTATGTTAAAAAATAAAGTTGGCAGAGAAGCTATCACTTGTAAGGTAAATAAATGGTTTTTATGTGACTGGAGAATCTTGGTCAGATAATGCATTTTTAAAGCACAAAACCAACAGCCACCAGCATCTTCCTGTGCATTCATAAATCATTTTCTTCTAATTCAAATGGCAACAGAGGAATCCTGGTGTGTGCGTGTGTGTGTACACACACATACCAATATCAAAGCCTGACAAACCATCAAACTACTGTATCCCAAACAGATCATAATCCATAGGCTGTTTACAAAGGTGGAATACAAATAGATTAATTTTCCTCAGGTAGAAGGCAAAAGTGTGTATTTCTCCATCTCTGCTGAATTCATTTATCTTCTTAAGGCTTTCACAGAAAGCACCAATTTATGAATAGGGAATTCAGTACCCAGAGTTTGACTGGAGACTTATTAATAATCAGGATTGAAGTCTTGATGCAGTTCATAAAAACCCAATAAAAAAAAAGGCATCAAAAACCACATTTAAAATAAAGCTGTCCATATATAAAGAACAAAGTGTTTAGAAGTTCCCACCTTGTTATTCTACAGAGTACTGAGAGGTTTAGTATTAGCAGCCTGTGAAGGTGTAGTGAGGAGAGAGTCTGAGAACCAAGTCAGCATCCGTATTCTACTCTAACTCCACCCGCTCCTTGGGTGAAAACAGTTCTTGCAGTCTAGAATTGCTCCTCATGACTGTTTCACTGTCAAATCTTTACATCCTGGGATTCAACCATCTTGGCAAGTGTCTTCTTGATTCTCAGAGCTGTAAGTCTGGAGGCTGGATTGTGGGCCCAGCATTCTGACATGAGCTTCAGAACTGCTCGTAGACACTGAAAAGTAAAGAGAATATAATGAGCACATAAAGATCTTTGACGACACTTACCAATCACTTCCTCAGGGGATGGAGCTCCACTTACTTCATCACTGTTCCATCGATTGGACACAATTGGCCGCAAACGCTTCACACACACAACCTCACGCATATCTTCGTATGATGGATCATTGGGCACCATATTGTAATATGGCAACTGGTACTCTTCTACTATCCCTGTAGGGAGTGAGAAAACACAGTGGGCACAAAAATGGCTAGACAAAATATATCAACCTACTCAGCACCTCTTACTGAACTATGGGAGATAAAATGGATTCCTACATAAAGAAGAGAATTATAGAGTGAATGATTCACTTTTAATAGTAAATGTGTTTTCTTCTCTTTTTCTATGCCTAAATATTTCCTCTACCTCCATCAGGGTCCCCATCATACCTGTGGATATACCTATAACCCTTAAGAAAAGGTGAAGCGCTCATTTACCTCCAATTTTTATTTATTTATTTATTTTGCGTGTGCGCGCGAGAGAGCAAGCAAGCCGAGGAGGGGCAGAGGGAGAGGGAGAATCTTAAGCAGGCTCCATGCTCAGCATGGAGCCAGATGTGGGGCTTGATCTTCCAACCTTGAGATCATGACCTGAGCTGAAACCAAGAGCCGGTCACTTACCCGACTGAGCCACCCAGGTGCCCCTTCGATTTTTAATTTGATTACTTATATACATAATTGTTCTTATTAACGAATGTGGCTTTTGTTTTTTGTTTTGTCTTATTTCGTTCTGCAGTAGAAAGACAACATGATATGCAGAAAAAAGTTAACACAGCAGGCTGGAGACTGCTATCCTTTGAAAAGGCCTGCTTGCAGGGTTGGCGCTGGGCCGGTATCTGGGAACTTGCTGGGTTATCAATTCCCTACACACTCATATAAAACCTTCCCTAAATGATAAGTGTCACTCACTGTGTGCCTAGACTATTTGTACAAACAGTATGGTTTATGCTGAACACCTGCTCTCTTTCTAGGAGTTTGGAATTCTGGTACATGCTAGGTGGAGGGTGCCCATGTGACCAGCCTCCAAAAATATCTTTGGCTACTAGGTCTCTAATGAACTTTCCTAGATGACAATATTTCACATGTTGTCATAATTCACTGCTGGAGGACTAAGCACATCCTGTGTGACTCCACTGGGAGAGGACGTCTGGAAGCCTGTGCCTGATTTCCTGAACTTTGCTCCATGCACCGTTTCCCTTGGCTGATTTTATCTGTATCCTTGCACTGTAATAAATCTTAGCTGTGAGGACAACTATATGCTGAATCCTGTGTGTCCTTGTAGTGAAATCAAAGAACCTGAGAGTGGCCTTGGGAATCCCTGACATATATGACATCTAAATTATATAAATGAAGCTGTTACTTTTTTTGAATAATGAGAATACAAACATAACCGGAAACCCACTACCTAAAGTCTTACCTCCTGTGATACAACGACGAGCCATTTCCCAAATGATCAGGCCAAAGCTATAGATGTCGGCCATTATGTAGGGCTGGAAATGACTTTTATTCAAGCTCTCATCCAGCACTTCCGGAGCCATGTAGCGTTTGGTACCCACCCTGGTGTTTAAGGGTACGTCAACTTCATTCGTGTCGCTGAAACAGAAGACAGTGTTCAGATTGAGGGCCAGGAACAAAATAGTTTATCTTGTATTTGTGTCCCATTTTGTAAGCCAGACTCTTCCCTCCGTGTGTACACACACACACACGCACATGCACACACACACACACAACACATAAATATATAAAAAAATAAAATTAAAAAAAAAATCTATCTAACCTACTAATCTTACATCAACATTCCCTTAACAGAATTCCTTGTGACCGGATTAGATTTTAAAATTTAGCATTTCCCAGATTTTAGAAAAGTAATATTTACCCTTTAAATACATGTTACACATTACACAAAACCCCAGCAGGGTCCGGGGCGGCACTCAATCAGAATCATTACTGTCTGCAGTGAAAAGCTAAGTATGAATATTCATATTATCCTGGATAAAGACAATAAACACCTCACATTAGTTCAAGTTTCGTCACCAAACAAGTTTAGTGCCTCTCTAAGAAAAAGGACAGTACTGAATATAAGAAAGAGCAGTAGATAATATAAGAAATAGCAGTAGTAGGGAAACAGTGCATGGAGCAAAGTTCAGGAAATCAGGCACAGGCTTCCAGAAGTCCTCTCCCAGTGGAGTCACACAGGATGTGCTTAGTCCTCCAGCAGTGAATTATGATGTACATATGAACAAATGAATGTAAAAATAAGCTGAGAGGAATCAATGCTTTTACTGTTCTCGCGTGATAAACTCAGCGTTTGTGACACAGGATTACATTTTCTTTTTGGGTCCAACCAACTTAGTTCTATTGTGAGTAATGTTTACATAATCATATTGACAATCAGTAATAAATGATGCTTATTGGTTTTCAATTTTGGGACTAAATTTTAGAGTTGGAAGACATAAATACTTTTGCTATTTAGGCCCCCAATTCTGGCAGGTTCTGGAAACTACTCCGAAGCCAAGATTAATATAACGTATTTTAGATTTTCTTAAACAGTACCTGATGAGTATGTGAGCCAATAAACACCACAATGATAAAGAACAAAAGGATCAGAACACTGTAACAACTAGGGAAGAAGATTTAAATTTTAACATTCGCTTTATTATGGACTAGTACTTTTATTTTATAAACCTGAAAATGAATTCTGAAATGTAAATTGGCTGCTATATCCTAGAGTTGTAACAATATTAAAACAGTTTCAGTGGTTTCCTAAAATTCTGATAATGCTGTTTAAAAAATATCGACAATTTCAAGTGGTGATGGAGAAATGGCATACTTCTCTGTTTATGGGAGTATAAACTGACGAACGCTTCCTAAAGGAAGAGCTTGCAATTATACTATACTTTAAAAGGCACATACTCTGTTTAGCCCCTTCTCTAGGAATCCACCACGAACAAATACTTAAGCAGTCAAGGATATTATATATGGGTAAGATACAATTAACGCATTTTTTAAACAATAAAGTAGAGATAACTTGAATGCCCATCAGTTGGGTCATAGATGAAATAAATTATAGTACATCCACATAATGGAAAACTGCATCAACACTGTTAAAAAGAATGAAGCAAATCTACATAAATTGCAATAGAATGATGTCTAAGACAATAAAAGCAGGAGATCAGGAACTATGTAGAGTAGGTTGTAATTTTTGTAAAAACAAAACAAAACAGAAAAACCCAGAAAAACAAAACACCAAGACATAAAAATCCCAACTATTTATTTATATAACCAGATAAGCCCAAATACATGTTTGGAATTCCACTATCTTGAATCCAAATAGGCAAATATCTTTTGGAGGTTACAATGATTTCAAAACACAGGCAAAGAACCGCTTACCTATTGAATTTAACAGCAAGGCCCAGGTCAGCAATACAGCAACTTCCATTTCTCTTAATGAGGATGTTTTTGCTCTTTAGGTCTCGATGAGCAATCGCAGGCTTTCCTTGGGTGCCATAGATTTCTGTGTGGAGATGGCACAGACCACAGGCAGCTGAATAAGCCAACTTGAGCAGGGCTCTGGTGTCTAGTGTAGCGCATTTCAGGAAATCATAGAGAGATCCGTTTTCATGGTAATCAGTAATCAAATAGAGCTGAGTCCAGGAACCCGTACCTTTAATGTCTGCCGCTATGAAACCTGTTCAGTTAATGGGTTTAAAGGGTTAGTTATCAGAAATGGGTAAGAAGAATGATGAATGCTCACTTAGGATACTGAGAATAACTCTGGTATCTTGTACAGATAATAAAAATTTAATTTGCCTAGCAAAATCTCTTGAATGTGTACCATTCTTTCCTGCGATTTTCAGATAACTCTACATTTCTGCAATATATTTAAAATAATCTTAATGATAATGATGAAAATGACAATCTATGACTAAGAAAAAGATCATATATCAGAAAATAACCTGGGGAAATGCTATCCATCTCCATGATTCTCTAAGCATGAAGAACTATAAGAAGAAGGAATGTAGAAAAGCTCTCAATTTCAAATTGAAAAGTGGACACATTAAAATAATAAAGTTAAAATGTTCAACCATGAGTTTGCTCCTAAGCCAGCTCCCACTTGCCCATCAAGCCTCAGCCCACCTGCCTATCTATCTGGCTCACTGATAAGCAGGGCCATGATACCAGCCTCCTTTCTTTCTTTTTCTTGTCCCTTTCCCTTCAGAAGGTCAGTGAGTGCTGGGTTGAATACTGCGCACCCCCCACTCCATGCCAATTCACGTCCACTTGGTACCGGTATACGTGACCTTATTTGGAATAGGGTCTTTGTAGATATAACCAAGTTCAGAGAAGGTCAATACTAGATTCAAGTGGGCCCTGATTCAGTGACCATTATCCTTCCAAGAGGGGAATGTGGACATACAGGGGAGAAGGCCATGTCACAACAAGAGAGCAAGAGTGCTATCTCCAAGCCAAGAAGTGCCAAAAATTGCTGGCAGTCACCAGAAGCTGGGAGGAGGTAAGGAAGGGGCCTCTCCTAGAGCCTTCAGAGAGCATGGCCCTGCCGACACCCTCCTTTTAAACTTACGGCTTCCACAACTCCGGGAAAATAAATTTCTGTTGTTTTAAGCCACCCAGTTTGTGGTAATTTGTTGTGACAGCCCTTAGAAAACTAACAGTTAAGTGTCTGGAATACTTGCGGCAATGTGCTATGCACTCTCTAAATTCAAGGGTAGGGAAATAGTAGCTGAAAAGTCAGGAAAGCTAGAGGAGTTTCTGCACCCTACCAATCAGATCATACATAAATTATTTTTCTATTTTGTAAATGAAGGTGGGGGGGTTCAGTTTATAAAAGGCAAAAGGCACATATAGTTAAAGTTACACTAGAAAATAGCTTAAATTACCTTTAAAAAACTTGGGCTGTGTTACTATATGAGTAAGTCCAATAAACTAGCACTACTTCGAATTTGAAACTCCCTATTGTTTTCCTAGTTGGACAGTAAATAAAGTGGTTGGTGGGCATTCAGGATTGTTTTGTAATTAAACTGTGTATTCTCATGGGTTTCCTTTAGCCAGATGCACATAATGGGATTCACGTATATTTTCAAAGCCCGTGTGGCAGGCTTCCACTGCACCCCACTAACCCTGTCAGAATATGGAATCGGCCGAAACCAAACGTGTACCCACCAAGTATGTTTTCGTGGCGCATCAGCACAGTTTGATAGATTTCCGTTTCTCGAAACCAGCTAGCTTCTTCAGTGGTAAAAAACACTTTGACTGCCACCTTTTCACCACGCCATTTACCCATCCACACTTCTCCGTACCGGCCTTTACCGACTTGCCGAACCATCTGAATCTGTTTGGCAATAGTTCGCTGAACCTTCACGATAAAAGCAGAATGTTTGTGGAGTTCTTGATGAAAAGAACCGGCTAAGATTGAGAAAGTGGCCCAATAGCCTGTCCCATCGAAAAGGATGGGATGTACAACCAACCCACCCCAATGGTGGAATTTATAAAGGATTTAAAACAAGATGAAACAACGTACAATATACATTGTGAAATCGCACACTAACGGGTTAGTTGACGTGATAGATTGTTTGCAGAAATGGTCAACATAATTCTGCTCCCAGTCCCAGTCCACACCCTTGGGTAGTCTCCTGTGCAGACTCTGGGCGTGGCGACAGGATTTGCTTTTGGCAATGGAACAACAGCAGATGTGATGCAAGTAGAGACTTGAAAAGTGTTTGTGCTCTGGGGCTTGCCCTTCCTTGCTGTTCTGGAGAACTCTATGAGGGGTGAAAAAACCCTGGGAGCCCCTGGCCGTGTCCGTGAACTATATCATCTAGCTCTCTAGCTGAGCAGGTCCAGAAAAGGAACTGCCCAGCAGACCCACAGAATCATGAGAGATAATAAATGTTTGTTACTTCAAGCCACTAAGTTTAGGGATGCTTTATTGTGCAGCAAAATCTAAATGTTAGTTACAAATCTTCCACTCAAGTCATTAAGATTCTACATTACATAATCTGGCCCCTGCCTGACTCTCCAGCCTCATCATTTGCTCTCATGACCCACCTCTTATTCCCCTTACTTTAGCTTTTAGAATTCATTCCTGCATATTCCTGTCTCAGAGTCTTTTTGCATGTGCAATTCCCTTTACTTAAGAGGGTCGTTTCTGTGAAACACCTTCATAGCACACGTATACCTCTCAGCTGCTGCACTTATCACAATTACAATTTTATTATTATTTATATATGGATTTGTTTGAATTCTATTCCTTCCTACTCACAGAATATAGGGGTTTGTTTAGGGGAACACTTGAAATATAGTAAGTGCTTTCATTAATTTTTGTTGACTCAAAGATGCACATTAATTGCTACCTTTCATTTTCAGAAGCACTAGTGGCCATTCTAAATTAAAAAGAACCCTAAGGTCCAGGTTGGAAATGCAGTTAAAATGAATTAGATTCTGTGCATACCTAAACTGACTTATTTTATGTATCAGTTATTTCAGAATCCTTTGTAATTTTTAAAGAAGACAGGATTATTGAGGTAGTAAGTTACATTCAACAAAATCCACTCTTTTTGAGAACTGTCTGACGAGTGTATACAGTCATATAACCACCACCACAATTAAGATAGAGAACGTTTCCATCACCCAAGAAAGTTCCCTCTTGCCTCTTTAAAGTCAATCCCCTCCCCACCCACCCCCAGGCCCTGGCATCACTGATCTGTTTTCTTTTCCTACAGTTTTATCTTTTCTAGAATATCACATAAGTGAAAACATACAATATGTAGTCTTTTGTGTCTAGCTTCTTTCGCTTAGCATAAAACACTTCAAATTCATCTATATTGTTGTTGCCTGTATCAGTAGTTCCTTTTTTATTGATGAGGAATGTTCCACTGTATGAATGCACCACGATCTGTTTATCCATTTACCAAATGATGGACTTTTGGGTTGTTGACAATTTATGTCTTACGAATAAAGCTGCTGTGAACATTCACATTTGGGTCTTTGTGTGGGCATGCCTGCAGATCTCTTTGGTAAATACTTAGTGGAAGAACTGCTTCACTGTATAGAAAGTATATGCTTAACCTATTCAGTCAAATGTCAATCCACTTCCCAAAGTGCCTGAAATGTTTTCATTTCAATCAGCAATGTATGAGATTTCTAGCTGATCTATACTCTTTTCCGCACTTAATATTCTCAGTCTTAGTCATGCTAGTGGATGTACAGTATCTCACTTTAATGTTTAACTTGCAATTCCCTGCTTTTTCTTGTGCTTATCTGCTGCAATTCCTTTCTCTTCTTTTGGGAAGTATCTGTTCAAATCTTTTGTCCATTTTAAAAAATGGGGTTGTCTTATTACTGAATTGTAGACATTCTTTATATATTCCGCAACACAAATTCTTTCAGATCTGTGTTGCCAGTTTGTGACTTATTTTTTCCTTTGCTTAAGCTAAGTGTCTTCTGAATAGGAAAAGTTACAAATTTGGGGGCGCCTGGGTGGCTCAGTCGTTAAGCGTCTGCCTTCGGCTCAGGTCATGATCCCAGGGTCCTGGAATCGAGCCCCGCATCAGGCTCCCTGCTCTGCGGGAAGCCTGCTTCTCCCTCTCCCACTCCCCCTGCTTGTGTTCCCTCTCTCGCTGTCTCTCTCTGTCAAATGAATAAATAAAATGTTTAAAAAAAAAAAAGTTTCAAATTTTAAAAAAGCCTAATTTATCATTTTAAAAATGATTCATGCTTTTTGTGTCCTAAGAAACCTTGCTTAACCCAAGGTCACAATGATTTTCTAAAACATTTTCTTTTAAAGGTTTTTAGACTTTAAATTTTACATTTTACATTTAGGTCTATGGTCCATTTCAAGGTAATTTCATATTTGGAGATAAGGGTCGAAATACACATTTTGGGAAACGGATGCTCAGTCTTCCCTGCACCATTTGTGGAACAGACCGTCTTCTCCCCACCGAATTACTCTGGCACCCAAATCAAGTGACATTTGTGTCCATTTCTATGCCCTCTATTCTCTTCCACTGACACACATATTTATCCTTATCCTTAAGGACCACACTAAGCTGATAACTGTAGCTTTATGGTAGGTCCAGAAAGCAGGCAGTGAATCCTTTGCTCTTTTTCAAAAGTGTTTTGGCTCTTCTAGGTCCTTTGCATTTCCATATAAATGTTAGATCAGTTTATCAATTTCTATAAACGTTTGCTCTGATTTTGGATTGAATAGAACTATAAGTCAACTTAGGATAACTGAAATTTTAATACTGCGTCTACTGAGTCAAAAACAGGATATACATCTCCCCTTATTTAGGGCTCTGTTAATTTCTCTTGGCAGTGTTTTCTAATTTTCAGTGCCCAGGTCTTACATAAATTTTGTTAAGCTTATTCTAAAATATTTGATGTTTTTTGAAGCTATTTTAAATGGTACTGCTTTTAACATTTTAATTCCTAACTGCTCATTGCCAGTGTACCTATATTCAATGATTTCTGTATAGTGACCTTATATTTTACAACCCTGATAAACTCACTTGCTGGTTGTTATAGCTTTATGGTATCATCCTTAAAATTTTTCTTTGTAGATAATCATGTTGTCTGCACATGAAGACAGTTTTACTTTAACCTTTCCAATTCAATTACAGAATTATTTAATTCAATAAATTAAAAAATTGGGCGCCTGGGTGGCTCAGTTGGTTAAGCGACTGCCTTCGGCTCAGGTCATGATCCTGGAGTCCCTGGATCGAGTCCCGCATCGGGCTCCCTGCTCAGCAGGGAGTCTGCTTCTCCCTCTGACCCTCCCCCCTCTCATGTGCTTGCTCTCTCTCATTCTCTCTCTCTCAAATAAATAAATAAAATCTTTAAAATAAATAAATAAATAAATAAAAATAAATTAAAAAATTAGAGATCAATGTACTTACTTTAAACAAATGCAATTAAACAATTAAAAATATGTCTGGATATCTAGTATTTATTAATTTGAAACAGTTATACTTCTCTCAACTAATGAATTTAATCTTAGGTGCAAGGAATTTATACTTGACTCCTCTTCAAGTTGGCTGTTAAAAGCAAAACTTGTGAGCTAACTCTAGCACTTATATAGAACTTCATGATCACATTTTCTTTCCTAACTTTGCTTGTGGCTCTATCTTACTGCCTATTCTATTCTTTTTGTCTCACAGTTCTTACTTTTAACTGATTTCTTCTTGCATGACTGCAGCCATCTTTCTAAATAAGAAGGAAGAAAAAAATGTGTCTAGTAATGTTCCCTAATCTATAACAATTACGCTGCCTACCATCATATAAGGACACAATCTGTACCAATAAACCACTCATGTCTATATGACATTTTATCTTACCAATAAAGGTAGTCCAGATCCACTACCAGAACTCTGTGACTGGTCAATGAGGTCTTTTAATGATTCTCCGACTGGAATAAATGCTTCATCTTGTTCCAAATCACGATTATAACGACGTCTGCTTGAGATGCTCTTGCAATAATGTCTTTTAAAAAAGCAGAAAATAACCTACATTAAAATTCCCAAACTACAAATACAAAGTTCTAGGGTAAGAAAAATCTTGAGGCTGTCAACACCATCATCCTTCCTTCAGATAGAATCACATCCAAATTAGTCTTACGGGATAATATCTCCTCTGTTAATGTCTAGGAATGGAGTTTATCAGGTAGAGTTCTATGTACGTGTTAAAATGGAAAGATGTCCACAGTGCATTGGCTAGTGAAAAAAAAAAACAGCACGCAGAAGTGTGATCCTAGCTATACAATTTTTAAAAATTATATATATCTACATATGTCTAAAAAGATCAGAAGAGATATATAACAAGTTGTAAATAGCAGTTATTTCTGGGCATGTTGGAGTACCCACCTTCTACTTTACATAAGCATTCCCGTTTGAATTTGTCAGTATTTTGAATTTTGTTGTATCAAAATGAACAATGAATATAGTTCCATTTTAAAAAAGGGAAAAGGAGCTGATGCAAAGAAATCAAACAAGTTCTCTGAACTCATTCTGACAGTTTTTTGGGTTTTTTTGAAGATTTTATTTATTTGACAGAGAGAGATAGCGAGAAAGGGAACACAAGCAAGGGGAGTGGGAGAGGGATAAGCAGACTCCCCGCCAAGCAGAGAGCCTGATGTGGGGCTCGATCCCAGGATCCCAAGACCATGACCTGAGACGAAGGCAGACCTCTAACGACTGAGCCACCCAGGCGCCCTCATTCTGACAGTTTTGAAGGTTCTTTTTACAGTTTCAAATTATGAAATACTTCAAACATACAGGAAAGTAGAGATTTAACTGCCACCCATGTGTAGACCATTAATTGAATAAATATTAACATTATATTTATTTTAAAGACAAAACATTAGAAATATTTGAAGCTCTTGCCATCTCCCTGATAATTCCATTTCCTTCCTTTACTCCTCAGAAACAAACACTATCCTGAAAGGTGGTATGTCCTTCTTATTTGAATATCTTCATAAACAACCCTGTTTCTCTGGATACAAAGTGACTCGAATGGCATATTACTACTTGATATCTTCCTTAAAAAAAACAATTTCCTTATGTTTTATGTATTTATCCATGCTGATACCTGTTTAAAAACAATAGCTCATTTTTATTGATGCTGAGTGTGTCATGCATTGTTCTAGGACTCACTTCCTCTTCACAAAACTCCTAAGAGGTGAATGCTATTGTGAAACCATGGCCCAGAGGTTCATCATTTGTCCCAAGTCAGACACCACCAAGTGGCAAAGCTGGGATCCAAACCCAGAGGCCTGGGCCTGGGAGCCAGTCTCAGTCACTACTATTCTGCCAAGGAAACGATTTAAATGGTACCTTGGGTTCTTGTTAGGAATTTACCACAATTTACTCTGACAGTCATATCTGTTAATTCCAAAAGTTTGTTAATACAAATAGTAACACAAAAAATATTTTTGTGCCAGTCTCTTGTGCAGGAGTATAAGAATTTCTCAAAGGTACACACACTTTCAATTTTAGTGATATCACTTAATTGCTCTCCAAAGTGGAATAATATATAAAGTATAATAATAATAATATGCTATAAAATATTTATATATGATACTTTATAATACTATTTTAATATTTTATATAATATAAATATTACTATAATTATAATATAAATATAAAACATGTAATACAATATTTTATATTATACTACTATAGTATATAGTATATACTATACTATAACTACGATTACTATTTATATTATACACTATACTATATATTATACTATACTATACATTACACTATATATAATACTATTACAATATTTTATAATGTATTATAAAGTATAGTATCACAATGTGCATTTCTCCATGTTCCAAGTTTGCACTAGAATATGCACATTTTTATGCTGTTACCAACCTGATGGGTATGAACGGACTCATTTTCCCCTGACTTCTAAGAAAGTTCGTATTTTTTCCTATGGTTCATTTTCTTCTGTGAACTGCTCCTCATATTTTTTTGCCTATTCTGTAAAGTGCCTATTCATGCTATTTAACAGGGATATTTTCTTTTTTTCTCATTGATTCATTAGGAGTTTCTTATATAATCTGGATGCTAAATCTTTGTTAATTATGCTACACGAGTCTTCTCTCAGTCTGTCAGTATCTTGTCACTCCACTTACTGTGCTTTGTTTTGTTTATTTTTATTTTTTAAAGATTTTTATTTATTTCTTTAACAGAGATAGAGAGAGAGCACAAGTAGGCAGAGTGGCAGACAGAGGGAGAGGGAGAAGCAGGCTCTCCGCCGAGCAGGGAGCCCAATGCGGGGCTCGATCCCAGGACCCTGGGAACATGACCTGAGCCGAAGGCAGCCAGCCGCTTATCTGACTGAGCCACCCAGGCGCCCCTATTTTGTTTTTTTAATGTTGTCAATTTAAACTTATCAATTCCCCCCTCCCTTTTTTTTTAAGATCTTATTTATTTGACAGAGAGAGACACAGTGAGAGAGGGAATACAAGCTGGGGGAGTGGGAGAGGGAGAAGCAGGCTTCCCGCCGAGCAGGGAGCCCGATTTGGGACTCCATCCCAGGACCCTGGGATCATGACCTGAGCCGAAGGCAGATGCTTAACGACTGAGCCACCCAGGTGCCCCAATTTCCCCCCTTTTTGATACATGTTTTTTGTGCCGTGTTTAAAGACCGTCTTCTCAACCCTAATGTCATTAGCACATTTTAAAGGTGTTAAAATTCTGATTCTCTCGTTTAGTCCTTTAATCCATTTGGCACTTACAGTAAAGGATGGAAATTACAGAAAACATCAAGTCAGGTTTGTTTTCTCTATGGACAGCCCAATATACTTAGCCATTTTTGAATTTTATTTTTAAAACCTTATATGAGTAACTGACTCACAAATGGTTTAAAATTCGCAGAGAAGGGGCGCCTGGGTGGCTCAGTTGGTTAAGCGACTGCCTTCGGCTCAGGTCATGATCCTGGAGTCCCTGGATCGAGTCCCGCATCGGGCTCCCTGCTCGGCAGGGAGCCTGCTTCTGCCTCTGACCCTCCCCCCTCTCATGTGCTCTCTCTCTCTCATTCTCTCTGTCTCAAATAAATAAATAAAATCTTTAAAAAAAATAAATAAATAAAAAAAATAAAATTCGCAGAGAAGGATGTGCAGTGAAAAATCTTCCTCCTGCCCTATCCCTACGCCATCAAGGAGGAACTGGAAAAAGCCCGGAACTGGAACGGTTTCCACAATCTGTTCGGTAATCTTCAGGACAGCCTTTATGTCTATTTAGATAAAAAATATATATACTGCTGTTCACCTCCCCCATTTCTCTTTTTTCTTCCAGAAATGGTAGTACGGCCATACACGCCGTCCTGCAGCTTGCGTTCTCACTGAGCCCTCCATCTGCATCCATTCCACAGCAGTACATAGAGCCTCCTCTTCCTTTCATGGCGAACAGTACTCCATTGTATGGCAGTTAACCATTCCCTCACCAGGACCATTTACACTGTTTCTAGTCTTATATCATACAAGGCTAAAATGGAAAAAGTTCCTGGCATATCTGTATACACATTGCTAGAAGTTAGAACTGAATTTGGAATTTTGATGGCATGCTCTACTGACCTCCTCCTTGAAGGTTATACCAGTTACAAACCCTCCACCCTTATAGGACAGCCCATCTTCCCCACACTCTCATCCACCCCCTTATAACACTTTTAGAACTTTGTTTTTAATTTTATCCAAGTTCTATATTCATCTATTTTTTTTTTAAAGATTTTATTTATTTATGTGGCAGAGAGAGAGAGCCCAAGTAGAGGGAGAAGGAGAAGGAGGCTCCCCACTGAGCAGGGAACCTGATGCGGGGCTCGATCCCAGGACCCCAAGAGCATGACCTGAGCCGAAGGCAGACACTTAACCGACTGAGCCACCCAGGCGCCCCTTTCCTTGAGTACTTTAAAGATGCTGCTCTGCTCTATGCATTGTTTCCCCTGAAAAGTCGGCTACCATCATCCTTACCTTTCTTCCTCTATACCTAATCTGCCTTTTTTCTCTGGCTGCATTTAAGATTTTTTTTATTACTGGCTTTGAGCAATTTGATAATGATGTACCTTGGTGTAGTTTTCTTTGAGTTTCTTGTACTTTGGCTCTACGGGTTTACAGTTCTAATTAAATCTGAAAAAAATCTTGGTCATTATTTCTTAAAATATTTCACTCTCTCTCCTCCTCTTCTCTCCTTTCCTTTGGGAACTCCAGTGTATATACAGTTGACCCTTGAATGACGGGGTTTGAACCGCATGGGTCCATTTATATGTAGATCTTTTTTTCAATACAGCATAGTACTGTAAATGCATTTTCTTTTCCTCATGATTTTCTTAACACATTTTCTTTTCTCTAAGAGCTTACTCTACTCTAAGAATATAGCATATAGTACACACCAGACAAAAAATGTGTGTTAATCAGGCGTTTTATTGGTAAGGCTTCCAGTCAACAGCAGGCTATCAGTAGTTACGTTTTGGGGGAGTCGGTTATGCACAGATTTTTGACTGCACAGGCATCGGCGCCCCTAACCCCTGCAGTATTCCACACAAATACACACACGCACACACATGCACACACACACACACATTAGACTGTTTGAAGTACCACAGCTCACTGGTGCTTAATTCCTTTTTTAAGTTATTTTTTAATGGTTTAGTTTGTAGTTTCTTTTTTTTTTTTTTTTTTAAGATTTATTTATTTGACAGAGCGAGAGAGCACAAGTAGGGGGAGCAGCAGAGAGAGAGGGAGAAGCAGGCTCCCCACTGAGCAGGGAGCCCGAAGCAGGACTCAATCCCAGGACCCTGGGATCATGACCTGAGCCAATGGCAGGCGCTTAACTGACTGAGCCACCCAGGCACTCTGTTTGTTTAGTTTCTACTGCAATGTCTTCATGCCTAATCCTATTTTCTTCTATAGTATCTAATCTGCCATTAATCTCAGCCAGTGTACATTTCATCTCAGATAGTACAGATCTCATTTCCTAAAGTTTGATTTGGGTCTTTTTATATCTTCTATGTCTCTATTTCACTTTTTGAACATATAAAATACCGGTATAATAACTATCTTTTTTTTTTTTTTTTTAAAGATTTTATTTATTTATTTGACAGAGAGAAAGACAGCGAGAGAGGGAACACAAGCAGGGGGAGTGGGAGAGGGAGAAGCAGGCTTCCCGCTGAGCAGGGAGCCCGATGTGGGGCTCGATCCCAGGACCATGAGATCATGACCTGAGCCGAAGGCAGTCGCCCAACCAACTGAGCCACCCAGGCGCCCCCGGTATAATAACTATCTTAATGCCCCTGTCTACTAATTCTAAAATCTAGATCAGTTCTGGATTGGTGTTTTTGATTCTTCATTATTGGTTGTATTGGTTGTATTTTTGCATGCCTGGTGATTGTTGACTGGATGACAGACACTGTGAATTTTACCTTGTTGGGTGCTGGGTATTTTTGTATCCCTCTAAATATTCTTGAATTATGTTCTAGGATATAGCTATTTGGAAACAGGACAATCCTTCTGAGGTGCGACCAGTGTCATTTTTAGTCTAGGGCTAATTATTTCCAATACTGAAGCAAGACCCTTCTGAGTACTCTAACCAAAGGCCTGTGAATTATGAGGTTTTCAAGTCTCACAGCTGGTGGGAACAGACACTATTCCCAGATTGTGTGAGCATCGAACAATGTTTTCCTCAGTCTTTTCAGGCACTCTTTCCCAGACTTGGGTAGTTTCCTCACTTGTACGTGCTGATCAAGATTCAGCTGAATATTTGATGGGATCTTTCTGTAGATATCCAGAGTTCTTTCCCTGTGAAGCACTCTCCTCTCCAGTACTCTGTCCTATGAACTATAACTGCTATTCGTACCCCAGACTCAGCTACCTCTCCTGGAGAGTCAGAGCCTTCTGGGCTACACCTGGGTTCCTCCTGTGTCCTATAGCTAGAAACTCTGGGCAGTAAGGAGGGCAATCATAAGGCTCACTTCATTTATCTCCTGTTTTTCAGGGATTAGTGTCTTTCACTGCCTGATGGGCAGCTATTAGTATGTGAGTGGGGTTTACTGATTATAGGCTTCACTGTAAGATGCCTGCCTGGGCCATTTCATTGGGTCCACTGGGGTCAGTATACTTAGGTCTTTTCTCTTGGGCTGGACGGATTTCCCCAAGAAGATTCTTCCAATTTGTTATTTGAACAAGCCTGGCTGACAGGGTTCTGGGATAGTTGAGGGGCCCACCAATCAGTATGTAAATGTTCACTTTACCTCCATGTTTTCACTGTAATACCTCACTCTCAATAAATGGATGCCACACTAAGAATCTTATCTTTGTTCTTTCCAGAGAATACACTTCTAGCCTTCTATTAGGGAGATGGTGGGGAAGTGACTGTTCAGAACAGGAGTAGCGAATCTCATCATCTGTGGTACTTGCCATCCAAAATGGCCCACAAGGACCCTCACCTCCTGGTATGCATGTCCTTGTTTAGTTCCCTTCCATAACACAGTAGGGCTGACCTGTGTGACCAGGAGAATGTGGCAGAAGTGATGGTGTGACTTTTGAGTCTAGATTGCATGTAGCTTTGCAGCTTCCACCTTGATCTCCTGGATCACTCACTCTAGGAGGAAAAAGCCAGGCTTCACGCTGTAAGGACACTTAAGCAGCTCTGTAGAGAGGCTCACATCAGAGAAACTAAGGCTTCCTGCCAATTTGTGAGCCTTAGAAGTGAGCTACCTTTATCTTGGAAGGTGATCTACCAGCTCCAGTCAAGTCTTCAGGCGAACACACCCTCTGCTGACATCTGACTGGATGTTATGAAAGATCCTGACACCCAGTCACTCACTCCTGAATTTCTGACCCACCGTGAGAGACAATAATTGCTGTTTTAAGCCACTGTGTTTGGGAGTGATTTCTTAATGCACTATTGCATAACACACATAGCATCTGACTTTCTAAAAATAGACTTTCAAGCAATCCTCTTGGTTTTACTGCCACTCTCAACTTTACTTCCAGAGATAACTGGTACCGCCGATTCTTGAGCTTCTTGGAGAATTCTATGATATAAACTGGTTGCTTTTTTACTGTTTCAAAAGTCTAGCCTAGGAGTCTGATTTTTTAGGTCTGCAAAGTCACTTACTACTTATCCAAAAGCTTCCCAAGTTCCAAAGTTTTTTGCTGTTATCTCCTGTTTTCCTCGTCCTAGTTGGACAAAGAAGTTAAAAACTATTGCTTTTTTACTGGAGGCAGCAAGAGTAAGTACGCTCAACCTGCCTCTTTATCTAAGAATTTCTGCCAGTATAACAGGTGAAAAACAGTATCTCAGTATGATTTTAATTTGTATTTTTCATATGGTGAGTATTCTTGGGTCATCTTTTTATTTTGCTTTTAAGAACTCTTAAGTATTTCCTTTTAGGTAAATATTCATTTTCCCACTGAACTGTTAAGGTTTTTTTCTTTTTGATTTATAAAAGCTCTCTATATTTGAGAAATCAGCTCTCTGTAATATAAGATGCCGATATTTTTCACTGTTCGCATTCTGTTTATGGTAGTTTCTGCCACCTAGTAAAGTTTTATTTTTACGTAATTGACACAATTTTTTTTTTTTAATTTAAAGTTTTGTTTTCTGTGCGTGTGGTTTTTTTGCTTTTCAGTTTTGTGTCAGACTCATCAGAAAGGGCTTCCACATCCTGAGATTATTTTTTAAAATTCTTCCACGGTTTGTTCCAGTGCTTTAATCACTTCATTTTCCATATATCTAGTTCCAAGCTGGGTAAAATTTATTCCAGTGTAGGTAACTGATTAAACTTCATCTTTTAAAAAAAAAAAACTTTATCTTTTTCCATATAGCTACCTACTACCAAATCCATTTATAGAATTATCCCCAGTGATCTGAAATGTTCCCTTTACCATATACTAAATTTCTTTATATACTTGGGTCTATTTATGGGTCTAATAACCTGTTCTACTGATCTCTTGGTCTATTCGTATGCCAGTAAGATGAAGCTTTATTACTGAAGTTTATCCCCTCCTGTTGTTACTCTTCTCTTTTGACAACTGTCCTCTGAAATCACGACTAAACACAAACAATTCTGAAGCCACAAATAACTAATGAATGATAATGTACTTGGCTTTCTGAGACAGATCTTCAACACTCATATATAAGAAAGTTCAATATTCTATAAATAAGAAAAATCATAAGAACTCATGAACAAAACAAGAAGTATAAAGTTGCGTTCCACTAACTGATTAGTAGTAAGGTCCTCTTTTCCCTTAAGAAAATTATAATCTAGTTAGGAGATTATAACCTGAAGGAGATAGAACCAGAGAATACAAGTTAATGGTGTCTCAATAATTTCTTTGCACTGGCTTTTAAGGAACTCTGCTCATATGTAATATTCAACAAAATATATTTTGTATCAAAATAATTATCTTACTTGTAACAAAAGCAGCTGGAGAAGATGATCATAGCAATTATGCAGACAGCCATAGAAATGAGCACAACCAGCCACCGAATGCTGCCATCAAAAAATGGACCTGACAAGGGAAGTAAACAATAAAGTACACATATTATCTTTCTATCACATATTAAAGGGGAAAAATAGTTTGTAGTGTTAAATTCTAGAAAGCTTGCTTACTGTTAAAGCCAGAGAAAATATTTTACTGAAAATCATGATCATGCTCTTTTCGGCTAACCTACCTATGACAACAGGGGGCAGTGTAGGTTGTAAATACTGGTTACATAAATTGGTCCGACAACATTCTATCGTCCGGCGTAGCTGGGCTTTTGGTGAATCCTAGAGGAAGAGTAATGATAAAATTAAAAATGGCTTGATATTTTAAGTTGATAATGAGGTTTTTTTAATATTCATAAATATAATTTTTAATTCAGCTGAAAGAACAAGACCTCCGAATTTTATGTGTAAAAAAGGATTACTGAAAAATTAGAATCTGTGCTGAAATAGTGAAGACTGTGAAATTATTTTTCCTAAGGAGAACATATGTATGTGGATGGTGTGTTGGAACACTGAACTATAAATTACAAACATAAGTTCATAAATATTTTACACCAAAACTTTGGCATATCTTAATATATTACTATTCATTTGTTTTAATAAAAATGTAAGTCATGGGATCTTTTCCTTAAAAAACATGGATAAGACATTTTATCACAATGATGAACTAGTAGGGTACACAGGATCTCATAGCAGTACTTAAGTGGAGGGTATCCCAGTCTAAAGAAAAGAGATGTCAGAAAAAGTAGTCAAGTAAGTAGAAGATACTGCAGAGTCTGCTTACAACTTCGCTGTAACTAATGAACCCCACACAGAAGCAAGTTAAAGCAGATGCAGTGAGGACAAAGGGAAAATATAGAAGCCATATTCCTGAGCTTCTTAGAGTCTACCACCAACTAGATATGAGATGTGTCCCTAATAGGTCAGAAAATGAGCAGAGGAAAAGACCGTAGTCATGAGAACAGACATCAACAATTATGTGTGAAGTTTGACTTGATTGGTACAGTACTTGACAAGTTATTAACTTGAATGCTGACATTTCAGCACTGCCTGGGAAAACTGCCATTCTGAACCAAAATAGTAACAGAAAGGAATTGCTTGTCATTATAAAAGTAGCAACAATATAAGCAGAAATTGACCATGCTATTCTTAAATATCAGATGGCCAGAAAGGAAAAACTTCAGTATGCTTGAGCATGACTTTAAAAAGGTGAACAGGAGTCCATGACTTGAGATTCCGTCAGGGAAGGTGGGTCAAGAGTATTTGGAAACTTTCAAAACCACAAGTTTTACACTTTAACTGAATTTTTAACATTAAAACAATTTTTACTTTTAAATGATCATAAAAAGAGAAAAGACAGATATGTTAGGAGTTATACAGGTGACTCTGAAATAATCCCAGATCGAGGACATTTACACGAAGGATGGAATGAAGAGTACATAACTAAAGATGAATACAAGGACTACGAAGCATCCAAGAACAGCTGCAGGAAGGCTAATGATCAAAATGAGCTGAGCCTTGCAGAAGAGAAAATATAAAGAAAAACGAAGAAAGGGTTTCTCTGGCAATGCTAGAAGACCGACCACCAAGCAATGGATGTGTTGCTGACAGAACAGATGAGGGGGACAAAGATCAGCACCATGCAGTGGGAGCCGCTCTCCCAGACACAGGAAGAGATCCTCCAGGGCTCCTGTGTTCTGCATGAGTGCCTGCCCTCAAAGCTGAAGCCAGGTGATCACACCAAGCAAGGGAAGAGAGAGGCCTGGAAGGCTTGCGTGATGGGAAGATTTTAGCAAGAACAAGTGTTGGAGACTGAAGGGCTAAATGTTATACTTTTTTTTTTTAAAGAAAAAGAAAGCAGACTTGGCCAACTAGAGTTTGGAGGCTGCATGGTAATATGGAAAAAGCAAGGGCTCTGGAACCAAACAGTTTATTAAATCCTAGCTTTGCCACTTACTAACTTTGTGAACGATGAACTTCCCTCTGGGCTTTCATTTCCTCTGCTATAAAATGGAGGACAAAAAAACACCTGCCTTACAGGGCAACTGCGAGGAAATGAGGTAGCATATACCAAGTACCTAGCATATTAAATGCAAACAGTAAATATTCGATAAATTAATTCTTCTTGCTCTAGCAAATGTGACATGATCCTAGTGGGGATTCTAGAACAAGCCAAAAATGCTTATAAACTCCTAGAAGAGCCAAAGTGGCTTCACCAAGAACAGCAATAGCAACCTCAGCTCCCACCTCTCTTAGGTAGGCTACCTGGGTGGGCAAAGATGAGATGGTCAAGTTGGGGGAGGGGACCTTTCCTATTCCTACACTCCCCCACTCCCATCGGCCACCCATGTCCATTTGTGTGATTTGTCCAGAGTCATGTGAGCTTAGATACTTAGATTTGAATTACAACACTGTTTGGAAATGAGGTTTTCGGTCCCAGGCCTTTAATCTGTAAACCAGGAGGGAGATGGGTGATTGTGCAAAGGAAAAAAGGAACAGAAACTGCCTGGGGAGCCCTGTTCTCAGGCAGGCCAAGAGGACTAGGCTCTGGAAAGCAAATCCCCTAAACTATCCACTAGCCTATGCGATCCTTGTGTAACACAGTCTGTGTGTACCTAGGGATGCACAAAACCGGCTTAGTGACTGCTCAGTTATATCATCAGAGCTAACATTTATTAAGCCCTGTGTGCTAAACTCTTTACATGTATGTTATCATATCATTTGATCCTTACAACTCCTTTACAAGTGAGAAAACAACTTTAAAAAAGAAAAGTGCCCCAAAGTTCTGCAGCTAGTAAGCAGCAGCACACGGAGTTGAATACACATTATGAAGTTTTAGCAACTAACTTATATTAGTGAATTCAATTTGTGATATACCTAGTTTAGGGGGCTTTCAGGATACTGGTTATTACTGCTGAGCTCAGTGCTCTAACCATAGTTCTTTTTTCAATATTTTCAGTGATTAAAAAAATGTATAGAATTTGTGGTTTATAAACATGCAAATGGCATAAAACTGGAAGAAATAATCAAATTACCATCCCCCCAAAATCCTAACAAATTACAGAAAAGGACTAATTCTGACATAATAAAATTTAACATAGACAAGTATGTAACAACTGTTTAACAAAACCCATTCCATTCCCATCCTATTTGTGTCAAGAAACCAAAAGAACCAATAAAGAATGGAAGAGGTGTGGTTCAGCAGTAGCATGAGTGAAAGGTGGGGATTTTGGCTGACCGGAAGCTCGACAGGTTTCAACAGTGTGGCATGACAATCCAATATCTAACATGAGATTTGGCTGTATTTAGAAAAAGGGAAAGGAGTTATTTATTCTCTGCATTTTTTTTTTGTGCCTGGTCAAACCACACTTGATTCTGCATGTAACACTGAGAAACCGGAGTAACTGAAGCTGATCATACACGGAGCAGTTGAGGTGACCAGGAACTAGCATTTTCACAGGCAAAGACAAGACGGTATGGGGAGGAATGGAGGACCACACAAAAAACTTTCTTCACACAGTAAAGGGCTATCTTATTAAAGAGGCTTTAGAGGGGCGCCGGGGTGGCTCAGTTGGTTAAGCGACTGCCTTCGGCTCAGGTCATGATCCTGGAG